ATATATGAATTTTTCTAATTTCTAAAAGTAAATCAGGTATAAATTTAATTCAAGACATAGATTAGCATTACAGTCAATGGGAGATTTTTTACTGAATTTACCCCTATAGGAAAATATGCATTCTGTCACTGTACTTGTCCAAGGCCACACAATAATCACAAAACTTATTTCCTGTGTATATTAATGTAATGGAAGCATTTTGGAACCATTTGAAGTTGTTTTTTACACAAATTTCTATGTTTAACTCGGCTATCCAAGATGCACTGAGTGTACTGTGAGAGGAAGCATGGGGTATATGGTAAAAATCAGTTTTTGTGTCCAGATTGAAAGAAACAATAGAAATTACACTTGAGAGTTATGATATCAATGAAAGGCATAAATATTCCCCACATTTTACAACACATTTTGCACATATTTCTCCTCATTATGTGTAAAATCATATGGAAAATCAGAATTACCTCCCTTTGACAGTGTATTTTTTTTAGCTGTGTTTCACCATGTTAAGTTGTAGAACAAGTTGTAAATAAGCACTTTTCAAGTATTTTAACACTTGAATAATCTGACCGCATGAAGATATTCATTTATTTTTACATAACGCATTGCGTTTCTTTATTTAAAAAAAATTGTAGATAACTTTTATGATTACATGCCCATCATCTATGAAACTAGTGTTGAAATGTTTGTAATTGGATTACTATGTTAAATAACTGCTTTTAAATATTCTAAATTGTTGCTTTAATCTTCCAAATGCAAAGTTTGGTCATACCCAGTCTTATTTTTTCATATTTGGCACTTTTTTCTACTTCAGTTTTGTCTGTCTAGTTTTGGCGAAGAAACCATCCTGATGTTGGGGTAACAGGAATTTCTGCAGAGTGATTGTCAATGACATTTTGTGAACTTTACAAGTAATTAAAACACAAATTTAGTAAAATGAAACATAATTGTTTGTTTTTTTTGTATGAAACTGCTTAAAAAAGCCTTTGAAAAGTGTTTTTGTGGTCTTTTCAGGGTATTTAATCAAAAACTTCCATATAAGGCAAAATTTAACTAAGAGTACATCAAGACTTTAGTTTCTAGATGTACTTGCAATACTGGTCAAAGCAAACACAGAAAACAATTCATATTTATTAAGCATAGTATTTTACACCATTCTTTTACAAACAGTCAATATGCAACTTTATATACCAAATATACATTGGCCGCAGTATGGGCTGTAGTATAAATTTTCCTCTATCTTTACAAGTTCAGCATTTATGAATGTTGTATTGAAACTGGAACTTTAAAATTGGATACATTACATGATTATTACAAAAAAAGAGGGAAAAGCTACTAAAAAGTCCCTTATAGGGGTAAATTCAGTAAATAAATATACGTCATCAGGGACCGCCCATTTGGGGGAGAGCTTTCTGTATAAAACTGAAGTCATGTGCTCTTCTGATTGGTAGATAATGTTTGTAATAAATATTTTTTGATAGATGGATAAAAACTAGAGTTGAAAAAAAAAAAAAATAAATGCTGAATGTACTAAATTTTTTTACTACAGGGTTGAAAAGTAATGGGGGTCAGTGAAGGAATTAAGTGCGAATCTACAGTGTTTGTAAACAAGGCCATGTGAATGCCCAAAAATGCCGCATGACCCTATGTTTTTATTGTTGCAAATGATAGGGCTACATTTGTACTTTCATGAATGATATATGAATTTTTCTAATTTCTAAAAGTAAATCAGGTATAAATTTAATTCAAGACATAGATTAGCATTACAGTCAATGGGAGATTTTTTACTGAATTTACCCCTATAGGAAAATATGCATTCTGTCACTGTACTTGTCCAAGGCCACACAATAATCACAAAACTTATTTCCTGTGTATATTAATGTAATGGAAGCATTTTGGAACCATTTGAAGTTGTTTTTTACACAAATTTCTATGTTTAACTCGGCTATCCAAGATGCACTGAGTGTACTGTGAGAGGAAGCATGGGGTATATGGTAAAAATCAGTTTTTGTGTCCAGATTGAAAGAAACAATAGAAATTACACTTGAGAGTTATGATATCAATGAAAGGCATAAATATTCCCCACATTTTACAACACATTTTGCACATATTTCTCCTCATTATGTGTAAAATCATATGGAAAATCAGAATTACCTCCCTTTGACAGTGTATTTTTTTTAGCTGTGTTTCACCATGTTAAGTCGTAGAACAAGTTGTAAATAAGCACTTTTCAAGTATTTTAACACTTGAATAATCTGACCGCATGAAGATATTCATTTATTTTTACATAACGCATTGCGTTTCTTTATTTAAAAAAAATTGTAGATAACTTTTATGATTACATGCCCATCATCTATGAAACTAGTGTTGAAATGTTTGTAATTGGATTACTATGTTAAATAACTGCTTTTAAATATTCTAAATTGTTGCTTTAATCTTCCAAATGCAAAGTTTGGTCATACCCAGTCTTATTTTTTCATATTTGGCACTTTTTTCTACTTCAGTTTTGTCTGTCTAGTTTTGGCGAAGAAACCATCCTGATGTTGGGGTAACAGGAATTTCTGCAGAGTGATTGTCAATGACATTTTGTGAACTTTACAAGTAATTAAAACACAAATTTAGTAAAATGAAACATAATTGTTTGTTTTTTTTGTATGAAACTGCTTAAAAAAGCCTTTGAAAAGTGTTTTTGTGGTCTTTTCAGGGTATTTAATCAAAAACTTCCATATAAGGCAAAATTTAACTAAGAGTACATCAAGACTTTAGTTTCTAGATGTACTTGCAATACTGGTCAAAGCAAACACAGAAAACAATTCATATTTATTAAGCATAGTATTTTACACCATTCTTTTACAAACAGTCAATATGCAACTTTATATACCAAATATACATTGGCCGCAGTATGGGCTGTAGTATAAATTTTCCTCTATCTTTACAAGTTCAGCATTTATGAATGTTGTATTGAAACTGGAACTTTAAAATTGGATACATTACATGATTATTACAAAAAAAGAGGGAAAAGCTACTAAAAAGTCCCTTATAGGGGTAAATTCAGTAAATAAATATACGTCATCAGGGACCGCCCATTTGGGGGAGAGCTTTCTGTATAAAACTGAAGTCATGTGCTCTTCTGATTGGTAGATAATGTTTGTAATAAATATTTTTTGATAGATGGATAAAAACTAGAGTTGAAAAAAAAAAAAAATAAATGCTGAATGTACTAAATTTTTTTACTACAGGGTTGAAAAGTAATGGGGGTCAGTGAAGGAATTAAGTGCGAATCTACAGTGTTTGTAAACAAGGCCATGTGAATGCCCAAAAATGCCGCATGACCCTATGTTTTTATTGTTGCAAATGATAGGGCTACATTTGTACTTTCATGAATGATATATGAATTTTTCTAATTTCTAAAAGTAAATCAGGTATAAATTTAATTCAAGACATAGATTAGCATTACAGTCAATGGGAGATTTTTTACTGAATTTACCCCTATAGGAAAATATGCATTCTGTCACTGTACTTGTCCAAGGCCACACAATAATCACAAAACTTATTTCCTGTGTATATTAATGTAATGGAAGCATTTTGGAACCATTTGAAGTTGTTTTTTACACAAATTTCTATGTTTAACTCGGCTATCCAAGATGCACTGAGTGTACTGTGAGAGGAAGCATGGGGTATATGGTAAAAATCAGTTTTTGTGTCCAGATTGAAAGAAACAATAGAAATTACACTTGAGAGTTATGATATCAATGAAAGGCATAAATATTCCCCACATTTTACAACACATTTTGCACATATTTCTCCTCATTATGTGTAAAATCATATGGAAAATCAGAATTACCTCCCTTTGACAGTGTATTTTTTTTAGCTGTGTTTCACCATGTTAAGTCGTAGAACAAGTTGTAAATAAGCACTTTTCAAGTATTTTAACACTTGAATAATCTGACCGCATGAAGATATTCATTTATTTTTACATAACGCATTGCGTTTCTTTATTTAAAAAAAATTGTAGATAACTTTTATGATTACATGCCCATCATCTATGAAACTAGTGTTGAAATGTTTGTAATTGGATTACTATGTTAAATAACTGCTTTTAAATATTCTAAATTGTTGCTTTAATCTTCCAAATGCAAAGTTTGGTCATACCCAGTCTTATTTTTTCATATTTGGCACTTTTTTCTACTTCAGTTTTGTCTGTCTAGTTTTGGCGAAGAAACCATCCTGATGTTGGGGTAACAGGAATTTCTGCAGAGTGATTGTCAATGACATTTTGTGAACTTTACAAGTAATTAAAACACAAATTTAGTAAAATGAAACATAATTGTTTGTTTTTTTTGTATGAAACTGCTTAAAAAAGCCTTTGAAAAGTGTTTTTGTGGTCTTTTCAGGGTATTTAATCAAAAACTTCCATATAAGGCAAAATTTAACTAAGAGTACATCAAGACTTTAGTTTCTAGATGTACTTGCAATACTGGTCAAAGCAAACACAGAAAACAATTCATATTTATTAAGCATAGTATTTTACACCATTCTTTTACAAACAGTCAATATGCAACTTTATATACCAAATATACATTGGCCGCAGTATGGGCTGTAGTATAAATTTTCCTCTATCTTTACAAGTTCAGCATTTATGAATGTTGTATTGAAACTGGAACTTTAAAATTGGATACATTACATGATTATTACAAAAAAAGAGGGAAAAGCTACTAAAAAGTCCCTTATAGGGGTAAATTCAGTAAATAAATATACGTCATCAGGGACCGCCCATTTGGGGGAGAGCTTTCTGTATAAAACTGAAGTCATGTGCTCTTCTGATTGGTAGATAATGTTTGTAATAAATATTTTTTGATAGATGGATAAAAACTAGAGTTGAAAAAAAAAAAAAATAAATGCTGAATGTACTAAATTTTTTTACTACAGGGTTGAAAAGTAATGGGGGTCAGTGAAGGAATTAAGTGCGAATCTACAGTGTTTGTAAACAAGGCCATGTGAATCACTAGATAGTTGGGAAATATCCTGCAAATGCCAAATAAAGATATCTAATACGTCACTTTCAGGGAGCCAATCGGAGATGCAGATACTTATGCATTATGGTGAAGCTGTAATTAAGATGGCGACGGTCCTGCATCGAAACCCCTGTGTTTTTAAGCGGTGCCAAGTCAGAAGAAGGAGAACAATTATGTATTTTAGTGGCAGAGGAAACTTACAGTGATGTTTTTTTTAATTGGATTTCTCTAAAAAGCACTTACAAAAGTTATTTGCATAGTTTTATACCGTCGCCTACTGAAGTTATCTACGGCTACAGATACCCCAAACAATGACATAAATGAATTGAAGAAATATAAGAAAAGACTAGGATAAGGCATAAAAAGATCGCGCGACAATAAATAGGATTTTCCTTTTAAAGAGGCTGTACCGCTCCCACAGCTGTACATGACTTTTAACTTAATATGATTAACTTCACTATGATTAATAGTAATAATACGTAACCCAGAGATCATTATTTGCTTTTCAAAATGAATTACTGAACCAATCGTGATTTGAACCTGTGACCCATTGCACAGAAGAAAGTCGCTGCACTACCAACTCAGCTAAACAGTAATCTACAAGCACATGGTTAAGTATTGACAAGGTGAGACTAAGGGGAAGGGGTAATGCCATGAAGTGGCGTGAGGGCTCCACTTTTGTGGTCTAAAATGAACACATTGAGGGATCCTATGCAATCATTCTTTTATTTGTGATTTCCTTGGTCGCCATGTTGGATGTACACACTATATTTATAATGATCTTTATGAAATTACCTGCTTTCTGTAAATCATTTTTAAGTTATAAAATACACTTATAAATATAATATCATTTAATAATCAATGTTTAAAAGTCATCAATATGTGCTAATATTAAAATTTCAAGTGTTATTTGGTCATTCGAGGTACCGAAGGGGAAGCACGGCTACACTCCCCCGCGTCAACATACCTAATGACATACGGGCAATATCAACAACACTTACTCTGGCTGTAGGTTTTACTTTTAAACACCCTTGGTTTTTTAGTTAGACACCGATTGTAACCGGAAAGCATGATTTGTCTGATAAAGTAAATTACTGATTCAGCCTTGATTTGAACCTAAAACACCTGGCATAGTAAGCCACTGCTATACAAACTGAGTTAAGTAAGCTTAACTAATGGAGGGCAGTTATATATATCTTCTATGTAACTTGTAAGATGACAGTGTTCTCGAAAATCGTCGGTCCTGACCGCCAAAAATCAGCCAGGACCGAAAATTGCATGTGTAGTGGCAGTCCTGATGACCGACAATATTTTGGTGGTTGTTCACTTTTGTTTTCACATCATTTCGGTATTCAGATAGCTTTTGAACTGGTTGCTAATGTAAACAAACTTTTAACTGTATAGGTCAAAATTACGGTACTACTTTTGAAAAAGAACCAGTCGTCGGTTTCTTTGGTATTCAGATAGTTTTTGAACTGGTTACTACTGTAATTTAACTTTTGTAGCCTCTAGCTTAAAATTACGGTAATACTTTTGAAAAATAACCAGACATAAAAGTCATCATGGCATCCACATGGCTCATTTCGTTCAAAGGGGGTGCTAAACCAGAGGACTTTGTATTTGAACAGACAGAGACTGAACATTTTTTTCTATATTACAAAAATTGCAGCTGAGGAATAAACATCAGACTTCTTTTATTTCTTAATTTTAATGCACTTTTCACTGTAAATGATTGTAGTGGACACAGGTTGGGAACAAGTCAGGAAAAGTGGGGTATTCACTGTTTTCAGGGACATCCCAGTTTACAGGGACTTCCAATTTCTATTTCAATTTATGGCATGAATCAGTAGTATTTGTAAATACTTAGAGTATTTCATGAACAACAAAGCATGAATAAGTGAGGCCTTTCTTTTTCTAGAACTCAAAAACATACAAATCTTTTGTTTAGGAATCAACTGACCAAGATGCATGCTCCAGGTGTAACTGACCATTACTGAATTATGTTCACTTCTATTGAAAGTTTCTATTCATTGAATTTAAATGCCCAATTGATTAACCTATCTTTTTGTCATCTCATAATTGAATTATTGATGATCAAGGTATGAATTGGTGAACAAAGGAGTTGTTTTGTTGTGAGTTGAGTACCAAATAGACTTGAAATTAGTTTGATTTTTGAACTTATAAAAACACCTGCTAACATAAAACATTGTTATCAGATGTAAAAGGTGCACTTTTGTAGATTTCATACCATAAAATAGGAAAAAAGAAGTCCCTATATACTGGTTTTTTTTTAACACCAGAAAACTGGGGTGTAACATGAAAACAGGGAATACCCCACTTTTCCTTACTTGAGTCCACCCAACCTGTTAAACTTATTAAGCCTCGATGTAATTCATCATTTCGTAAAAGACATTTTTCCTAACGAATTATAAACAATTGGAACAGTTTACCCAAAATGTTGTGTCTGCAAAGACCGTTGATAACTTTAAATTACAACTTGATCATCATTGGGAAGATGTTATGTACCAGTTCTAGTGATAAATTATTTTTATTACAAATTTTTATTGAAATTCTTTACACTTGAGCCCTTAAACGACTCTACAGGTATTCTACAGGTAGTACTATGCATGAGACTAACACAAAAATGAAATCAAACATGTTATCAAACTGACAAAGTATAAAAATTAGTGAACAATGCAAAGTTCAAAATTTCATTGAAAACCACCAAATATATAACATAGAAACTAGGATGGAGTTTATATATATTGAGCAATGACTTTCATTTAACTAATAGGTGTTTGATAAATTCAAGTAAAATTACAGGACCACCAGATTTTTAGTCTTGGTGGTCCCAATGACCACCAGGAAAAAAAAGATTTCGAGAACTCTGAGATGATTAATTACAACAACTAAAAGTGTTTGTAAGATCCAGAATGAATAAACACAGAAAATTTGTCTGCTATAAATTAATGATGGCTTTTTTGAGGAAAATTTTACTGGGCTGTGGTTAGGATTGTGAATAATCATGATGATAACATTTTCAAATTTAAAAAAACAGTTTATAACCTTGAGAGGGAATAATCAGCACTGGTCAGTGGCGGATCCAGAGGGGGGCGTAGAGGGCGTACGCCCCCCTTACTTGCACTTTTTTTTTTATTAAGACTGTCAAATGGTTAATCAGACTAGATATTGTTGACTCTGCCATTTCCGCTATTATGCAAATTACACATGAGACCATGGATCTATATTTCTGTTAGAAACACATGAAGGACTTTTTTACCACAACGAAACATAGGACCATAGAACTATTAAACTGTTAGTAGCATGCCATGGTCTCTTTTATACATATTACACATGAGACCATGGACATATATATACGTTAATAACACATCATGTACTTTTAAACCACAAAGAAACATAAAAACATGGACCATAGACTGTCAGTAACATGTCATGGTCTCATTTATGCATATTACACATGAGACCATGGACCATGGACATATATATCTGTTATTAACACATCATGGACTCTTATAAAGCTATGCAACAGAAGACCATGGACCAATTAGACTTGTCAGTAACATGTCATGGTCTCATTTACGCATATTACGCATGAGACCATGGACCTATACATATGTTATTAACACATCATGGACATTTATACCACAATAACACATAAAACCATGGACCAATTAGATTGTATCATGCCAAGATCTCTTTTATACACATTACAAATGAGACCATCGACCTATGTATCTGTTTTCAACACACAAAGAAACATAAGACCATGGACCAATTAGACCGTAACATGCCATGGTCTCTTTTATACACACTACACATGAGACCATGGACCTATACATATGTTATTAACACATGGACTCTTATACCACAATGAAACAGAAGACCAAAGACCAATAAGACTGTCAGTAACATACCCTGGTCTCTTTTATACATATTACACATGAGACCATTGACCTATATATCTGTTATCAACACATCATGGACTCTTAAACCACAATAAAACAGAAGACATTGAACCAATTAGACTGTCAGTAACTTACCATGGTCTCTTTTATACATATTACACATTAGACCATGGACCTATACAAATGTTATTAACACATCATGGACTCTTATACCACAATGAAACATAAGACCATGGACCAATTAGAACAACATGCTGTGGCCTCTTTTATACATATTTCGCATGAGACCATGGACCTGTATATCTGTTATAAGCATATCATTTTCTCTTTTATACATATCACACATGAGACCATGGACCTATATATTTGTTAGTAACACATTATGGACTCTTATACCACAATGGAACAGAACACAATGGACCAATTAGACAGTCATTAACAAGCCATGGTCTATTTTATACTCATTACACATGAGACCATGGACCTATATATCTGTTATAAGCATATCATGGAATCTTATACCACAAAGAAACAGTAGAGTGTGGGCCAATAAGACTGTCAGTTACATTCCATGGTCTCTTTTTATGCATTTTACACATGAGACCATGGACTTATAATTTATATATCTATTAACACTTCCTGGATCACAATGAAACAGAAGACCCTGGACCAACTAGACTGTAAGTAACATGCCATGGTCTCTTTAATACATATTAAGCATGAGACCATTGACCTATACATAAGTTATTAACACATCATGGACTATTATACCACAATGAAACATAAGACCATGGACCAATTAGACTCATAAACATGCCATGGTCTTATATGCATATTACACATGAGACCATGGACCTATATATCTGTAAGTAACACATCATAGACTCTTATACCACAATGAAACAGAAGACCATGGACCACTAGTCTGTTTGCCAATTCCTGTAATTAGAGAACTTTTTTGGTTGTCTCCCTTAGGAGGGACATTAATTTTTAATGACAATGGAGATCTAGTGGAAAGAGCAAATGTATCTATGCGTTATGTGTGTAACCTCTAAGTATTTCAAATCATTTAATAATTTTTTTAAGCTAAATACTTTTGATAACTGAAGTTATTTTTCAATAAAAATTTGTTAAAACGCTGATATATCACTTTCAACTTATGCTGAGTGGTCAAAAGCTACTTTGTCCAGCATAGAACCAGTCTACTATTGACAAAAGGAAGTAATTTTTCTTTATTTATATATATTTCTTATGTTTCATAATGTAATGTTTTAATATGGAAGATTTAAGTATACAATTGTTTTATTTAGATTTTCTGCATGGACGATAAGTATTTTTACCTCAATTAGTAATGTGTAAAATTACTGAAATTATTGTAGTAAAACTCTTATGTTATATCTGTATTTATAATCACACATATAAATATTTACCTGTATTTATAAATCTTTTTAGTGGGAGGGAAAAGGGGCATATTGTAACTTAAAGCTGTTAAACCATAATTTTATGATACTGATAAAGTGTTTGTTTTTCAGAGGCAGACAACACTCCAGATCAGGCTCCAGATGATAATAATATTGTTTCAATACCATCCTCTTCTGTGCTGGAAACTCAGGTCTATGATTTGGATGTTGGCATCATGAGATCGCTGATATCCCAATCAGCTGGACCACTGACTTCTCTATCTAGTATGACACAATATATTTTTATGTATTTTCCTTTCTTTAATATTAATAACGTATGGTTTCCATTGTTATATCCTTGTAAGTTGAAAACATTTATAATAGCACATTCTTAATGGTTTACCATTATAACTTACTGATAGGATATAGTAAGTTTCTATTTAACCTTGATAAAGGGGGCTATGACGCAAGAGTAAATGACATGTCATACATCAAAACTTTGATGGACTTGTCATCAGATTACTGAATATATATATCCCTACAGTGTTGAATTATTGTATTATATGCCATTTTGTATAACATTGTTTTGTTATTAATGTACAGTGATTATTGGTCTTGTGTATTGTAATATTGAAAGCCTTTGGCTTAGAAAACATCAGCATGTTGACCCATTTCTTTTCCCTTGGGCAGTTAATTCTTTGTAATGCCTTTTGCTTATATTTATGTTATTTACATATTTCTTTTAAGATACAGGCTCTTTGGGTTTAATTGTTCTTTCAGCAACACACTTAACTATTTTAAAATTGGTGTATTCCATGGGCATAATCTTTTGATGGAACAGTGTTAAAATTAACAATCATTATTTTACTTATCTTTTACACCATCCATCAACTTTTGTAGTCTCCTCAATCAGTTGTAATGCAACTTGCTTTTGAATATCTTTTAGTATATGAATGGTACAGAAGAAGAATGTATAGAAACTGGCCACCATGATCAAATAGAGCCTCAGGAAACAGGGGAAGGGGACAAGGTAGTGCAGGAGACCGATGAAGAACAAGGGGGAGTAATAGTTCAAGAGACAGGACAGGAGAAAGGGCAAGAGCCGGAGGGGGAAACACACGTAAGTTATGAAGATCATTCGATACAGGTGTTTTTTATGTCTGTTTATGTTTAGGAACTTTTAATTTTTCATATATAATTAAAGTCATTCATTGTATATATTAAAAAAAAATTAAATATGTTGTATGATTGCCAATGAGACAACTTTCGAGAGACCAAATGCCATAGAAGTTAACAACTATAGTTTACTGTTCAGCCTTCAACAATGAGCAAAACCCATGCCGCTTATCAAGCCATAAAAGGCCCTGAAATAACAAATGTTAAACAAATTAAATTTGAAAACTAACAGCCTGATTCGTGTACAAAACAATATACAATTATGATAACAAACGAGAACCAATGAATTACACTGGATTTAGTGTAAATACATCATTAACAGTCATTAACATTTAGAGAAAAACATGACCTTGTGAAATAACTCGATCCAGGCATCAAAAGATGTGCGTATATATTTAGTGTGATTTTAATTTACTGATGGAATAGTCAATATTTATTCCAATATAAACAATATTTAAAGATCTAATTACAGTGTTAAATTGTTATCCTTTTAGAATAAGTTTATTTAACGATTGATAACTTCACCCAGAGCATACCTAAATTTTCCAGGCTCGGTAAACAACAAGGTAAAGTAGGAAAATCAATATGAACAGTCACATTATTTTTAAGGAAGTCTTTAACTTTTCAGCAACAGGAGATATTAAGAAGCAGGAAAATTTTTCTTTTTTTTTTATTATGTTTCTGTTTATATTACAAAATGTGTGGGGTTTTTTTTATATAAAAGTATATGCACTGAAAACATTTAAATATTGAAGTGTATTTTATAGGTGAAAAGAGAAAGAATACACTCAATTTTCATGGAAGAGGTAAAATATAACTTAAATTTTTTATAATGCACAAATTGAAGTTTATTTTAAACCATTACACATAGAGGCCACTGTTATGGCCTTATACTTTAACTAAATACAATGTACAAAGAAAGCTGTAAATTGGTCAGTTGAAACATAAATGTTGGGTATATACCATTAACACAAAAAAATGATTGATTGATTGAAAATTGGTTGTTAAACATCCAGTGTTGAATATTTCATGCATGTTCAGGATGACAAAATAAATGACAAATATAATAAATGATGCATGTTTATAAGAGACACACTTGAAAAATGGTATCATGTATATTCTGAGATCTTACAAGTACTTCACCTATTTGAAAAAGTCATTTGTGTATAACTGTAAAACATTTCCTTGTTTCTTGCTGCGCTTATAAAATTCCTTGGTTTTAATTTTGAAATGTCTGAAATGTTTTTAATTGCTAAAACTTATTGATCACATATATAGTAACAAACAGTTGTTTTTTTTTTAGATTTGTTTCCTTCATTTAACAATTGTTTTCATTTATATTTATTTAGATTACATTAGAAGAAAAATGTTTAAAAGTGAGGTGTTTGATTACATTGTGGTTTGATTTGTGGGGTTTGGCAGAAGTTATTTGGGATTACATTCCTGTTTTTCCAGACACCCTGTCAAATACTTGGAGGCCCAACACCTTAATAGATACCAACAAAAAGTAAGTTATTAATCTAGTTTCATCTAGTGGGCATAGAATTTGAGTTGATAACCTACATGTAAGTGCTGGTTTTAAAATGATTTTTCAATATAGCCTTAATTAAATCCTACATCAAGATTAGAAATAAATCCTTGTTTATCTTGCTTTGTTTATAGTTAATATTCTTTGAAAATCAGATAATATTAGAGATGTCCTTTTTTTTCAGGTATAAAGACTTTATACCACTTTCCATAGGGGAACGTACAGCTTACCAGTCCACAGCAAATGGAAATTGCATTTATAATGCAGTGTCCATTATCCTCTATGGAAATGAAGATATGGCTGTGGTACTGAAGCTGGCTTCAGTGCTGAAAATGGTGGACGATATAGTACCATTTTCAAAATATGTAAGAATACAATATATTCATTTATTTGTTTTTTCATCATTTTATACCATTCTATTACAGATAGAATATAGAATTGTTTTTGCTCTAAATCCAACCTAATGAGGTTCCCTACTGGAAATCCTTTTTGCTAAACAGTTCTATATGTTAAATCATTATAAAGCAAGTATAAAATTCAACCTGTTTATTAGTCCCCTATCGACGAAGTCGAAGGGGACTTTAGGTTTGCACTCCGTCCGTCTGTCTGTTTGTCAGTCCTTCTGTCAGTCCGGCAAATCAGTTTTCCACACTTTTTTTCTTCATGCTTGAAGATATTGATTTGATATTTGGTATGTAGTTTTATCATAACAAGTAACAGATCAAGTTCGAATTTTGTTCCGGTCTGATAATTTTGTGCAGAGTTATAGTCCTTGGACTTAAAAAATTCCCTCAAATATTCAGTTTTCTGCACTTTTTTTCGTCATTCTTGAAGATTTTGATTTGATAATTGGTACGTTGTTTTATCATGACAAGTTACAGACCAAGTTTGAATTTCGTTTCTGTTTGATGATTTTTTGCAGAGTTATGGTCCTTGGACTTAGAAAATTCACTTAAATTATCAGTTTTCCACACTTTTTTTCGTCATGCTTGAAGATATTGACGATATTAGTTGTATAGTTTACACCATGACCAGTTATAGATCAAGTTAGCATTTTGTTCCAGTACAATTAATTTTTAACCGGTAGGGGACTATGTACATGTATTGCCATGCAATACTCTCAGAATGCTTGTTTGAAAAGATTTTATATTTGCAATTCACAAACCATTTATATGATCACAATCTGGTGTTACAATCAATATCAAAATAATGTAGTATGATAAAAGAGTAGCACATAAGTATACAAATGTAGACAAAAAGGACATATATTAACAAAATTATGTAAATCACAGGTTACCATTAAGGGGTTATCTATGATTGTGCTTGGCAATGTTAATTTTATTTTTTTAAATTTGAGCACTGACAGAATTGCCTATAGGAAACAGTTATTTTAATTATAGAAGAATTTAAAGAGAAAACTATCTGTGGGTTAAATCTACCCTGCTGCAGGTGAATGCAGCCTCAACAGCAGAGGAGGTAGAGTATGGATGCCGAAAAGAGCTGGTCTCGACTATTCAACATCCATACAGGGAAGGAAGTAAGTATAATGTTTCTTAAAATAATTTTTATCATTCAAATGTTTAAAAAATATATTAATACAAAAATGAGGAAATGTGGTATGATTTCCAATGAGACAACTCCCCACAAGAGACCAAATGACACAGAAATTAACAACTACAGGTCACCGCACAATCTTCAACAATGAGCAAAGCTCATATTGCATAATCGGCCATAAAAGGCTCCAAAATGACAAATCTAAAACCATTCAAACAAGAAAACTAACAGCCTGATTGATGTACAAAATAATGAATGAAAAATGCACATATTTATTTAGCACCAATAGTTATAGTTCTGTTCTGTATATCATTACTGTGTGACTTTTTTTGATGATCAATGTATGTAATAGTAGACCAAGTATTCTGTTTTTAATTTTGCTACCTATGTATAATATCTTTGTTATTTTCCATTCAGCTGTTTTCCATCTACATCTATTGTCCCATTTATTGTCACGTCCAATACAACAGCACTGCAAAAAAATACCAGCAGTACCTGCGACTGATCCTGCCACCGTTGACACCCCCAGCTAGACCATCATTTTCACACTTGGTTTGGGTGCCTGCCAATCCAAGAAATGCGTAAGATATCAAAGTTGTATGCCTCACTTTATCCTGCAATCAGTTAACTATTGTACAAATAACAGGTACACAAATAAATTTTTGCTTTATTTGTACATGTACAAATAAAGTCTACAGTTACCCCACTTCCATGTTGAGCAAGCTGTAATGGGGATAATTCTTTTGGCGTAACAGTTCATTTTGGGGTCCTCTTCGCAGTCTGCGATTTCTTAGAAAAAAATAGATTTGGATTTGGATTTTAACAACTAAAGTTTCAAGTGTCGGTGTAAATTGCAGGATAAAAACAATATATGTACATTGTCAGAAAATATCAAATTTATTTGTAATCAGTACGAAACAGGAGAAAAGCTCTGAGAGCCTCTCTTTTAATCCTGTTTCTAAAGCTCATACAAATAAATTTGATATTTTCCAACAATGTACATATATTTTGTATATTTATCATGCTCATTCCAAAGATATTCACTCAAAATATATCATGTTAACAATGTCTGTGTATTACATTTGTAAAGTTATTTCCATGATCACTCACATCATTTACCAATAAATATATAGTGTGTGAAATGGCTATGTATCTCTAATGTCAAAACTAAGGCTTACAATTTCATTAAGGTTGCTGTAAAGTGTGATTTTCATGTTCCTTAGGAGTGACTAAAAAATATATTATGTTCTAGGGAGTTCAGCAAATTTTCTGAAGAATTTTTTTTAATTCATCTGACTTGAATTCAACCTAATTACATACTACATCAAAAAGCATTTTGGAGTAAAATGAAATATATTTATAGACACCTAAATGCATATTTTTTTTACTTTTGAATTTAGTTATACTTGTATGATAATTTTTTTATTATTTTCTTCATACAGTTTTGCATCTATCAACCATGTGGTTCCAGCTGTCTGCTCATTTGGGACCTTATGGAAGCAGTATTGAGGATTGTGTGTTCCTTGGCCTTGGGTTGTGCTGTTTTATGGTCAGCCACCACAAGGATATAACCCCAGGCTGGGTGGAATGTACCCTTTGTGGACAGTGGGTTCATGACACATGCATGGGTGTCACTGCAGCAGCCTTTAGCTTGCAGGATGATTTCCCATGTGAATGTGATTGCCTGCAAAATGGAGAGTTAAAACTGAAAAGGTAAAAAAAATACCTAGTTCTCATAAAAAAAACTCTTCCTTTATCCGGTCTAATTTACCCAAATATAAAATTCTGTGTTTTCAATACTTAGTATTTTCATTTTTACGGAAATTGTACCAAAATGTTTCTAAAATTTTTTTCTATATTTTTTGTTGAATGTAAGTTGGTTTTATTTTTATGTACACCATTTAGAGATAAGTTTTATGCTATTGGAAAAGTATTTTGTATTGTGTTAGCTATTCTACATTGCATACTTATTTTTTTTTTATATTTCAGCATTGAATACTACACAACTTTGCAGGTTAAAGACCTGGATATGGATTTCAATGTAAGTGTATATTATGAAAGAACAAACATGACCATTTATTGAATGATGCTGACTCAGACCACTACAAATGAAAACTAAAATGAGAAGAAAGACAAGTTATGCAAATATTTTGTATTTTGTCTTTTGTATCTAGTAAATAGTCAAAATATGATTTTTTTGTTAAACAGTATGCCATACTTTCTGTGCTACAGTTCTACAGGTGATGAAATATTAGATAAATGTGGTACCAAACCCCTTGACTAAAATTAATTTGGCTCGTTTAATTTTCATAAAATTTGGACAAAAAAATTACTTTGAGCCTTTGACAAAAATATAAAAATTTCAAAAAACTTGAACCACACAGTTTATCAGAAAAATTCATTGGATCTATAGCAGTTTGACATACACTAATTTTGATCATTCAAAAGCTTATTATTTCCTTACAATAAAACGTGATTTAAACGTTCAGCTGATTTTTACAGAGTTATCTCCCTGTTGTGTTATGTGCCACCTTAAAAAGGCATTTTTAAGGTCCACAGAGTACTGATTTTAGATGAAATTTCAATATTAGAACATTCTGTTGACATGTAAACTTCTAAATCAAAGAGGAATACATGTTGAAATGTGATATTTTCAAACTGATACTTTCAGATGATAGTCGACAAAGTGGCACAAATGCACAGCCTGAGAAAAGAGTTTTCCAGGGAAGCAAATGGAAAAAACAAATGGGCTTTGAGAAGTGGTCGGTTTGGTCCATTTACAGACGAGTTTGTAAGTTTTAGTAATTAATGTTATTGCAGTATATATCAAATGGTATAAAAAAAGTTGTAGTTACTTTTATCTTCAAAGTCATGCCATTTGATAACAATGTTTTTACCTCAGCAATAAAAAGTTTTAAGAAATCATTTTTATAATAATTGTATTCAAATGTTTCTGAAAAATGAGAAAAAAATTAATTTGAAGGTAGCTACAAAATCTGATTGTTGTATTTTTCATTTTCTTCAGGTTGACACTGTGAATACCAGTTTGATCACAAATGTTGGAGTAGAAAAGCTCCACCTTATACCGAATTTATATATGCCTGAGGTAAATAACATTTGTTTTACATATGAAAAGTATGCTTTAATTATATTCATCTCTTATTCAATTGTAAAATCTTGAACAAAATAATCTTTTGAGTAAATGAGGCTTGCTTGTTTATATGTAGATACAAAATGAGTTGATATATACAAAACTAGAACATTCATTTATTATTTCAATTTTAAGTCAGACTTAAAGGAATATTTAGAATTGTTACTATGGGAAAATCAAAGTATAATTGATTTGTTAGGTTAGAATTGGAAATTCTTATTTTTATACGACTGCAAAAAAATTTTTGTGGTTGTATATTGGTATGACGTTGGCGTCGTCATCGTCGTTGTCAGATTTTTTTTTCCTTTTTTTTCTTTAAAATTTTCCATTTTAAATTGGTTATTTCTGATTTATATATAAAAGCAAATAATAATGATATGGTTTGAATAGGTAAATTAAAATTTTTTAAGTTCTTAGACCACTTTCATTCTGTGTGAGAAACCTATGCTGTGTCAAATATTTAATTACAATCCAAATTCAGTGCTGTATCAAGCTTGAATGTTGTGTCCATACTTGCCCCAACTGTTCAGGGTTCAACCTCTGCGGTGGTATCAAGCTGCGCCCCAGCGGAGCATTTTATTTTAAATCAAATGATTGTGTTGATATTATTTTCTTTTGGCTTAATTTTAGACGTATTTTATTTAGCATATTATTCTTGTTATTTTTTTTTAGGTTTGATACAAGTTCTATGTGAAAAAGAAGAAGTAAACAGGCTTGTGGATGAACCTTGTTCTTCTGAGACATAAATCATGATAACCACTGTATATCATTGTTACTTCCATTTTCATTTTCATTTTTTTTTCTTCAAAAAACTTTTTATCTGTAGATATTTGTAGCAAAACATATTGATGAAAAACCTATATCTAAAGTGACGATCCATATGTTTAAATTTGTTTTATGATTTTTAATCTCTAATATCTACTTTTTTATTCGAAAATATTAATCCTTAGCTGAAAATGTCACTCAAATTTTTCACACAAAACCTTTTTGGGAACCCAATAATTGATAACATATATATGACTCATTTTTGATTCAGCCATGCTGGATCTATGCGATCACTCTGTTTTTGTAGATGGTGAAGACTACTAAGTTGAAGACATGATATAAAACTAATTATGTGTTTTTATGACTTGCAGAAATTTTCTGCACCATTTTAATCATGAACTGTTCTTAAATCAGGAAAAGATTGGTCGAACAACCCTTTTATTTTAGATATACACTTGCATATAGTTCCTTTGTAAATCAAAATTTATAATGATTTACTAGTTATGAATTAATTTGAAAAAGTATTTGTACATCAATTGAATCAGTTGATAAGAATTTTGAAAGTATTATATTAGTATCTTATGCTTGTGTAAGTTGTTGTTCAATGAAATGTAGGTCAACATCTGTATTAATATATATCAGTTGATTCCCACACTTTTTTTGAAATGGTATTACTCCAATTTTTCCAAAGGCAAGTAAGAGTCAGTATGATTATCAACTGTCATGAATTTTAAATAATTACAATCAAAGGTGTAAGTATTAAATGGAAACGACCCCAGCCTTAATTCACCACAGTTAATGTCTCATGACCTGTTACATAATTAAATAGACACAATTTATTACACACCTAACTGAATACACACATTCTCAATAGTAAACCTAAAAATGTATATTTATTTTAATCTACAATAAAATATTCTGTTAGTTTATGCTAGCTAGCTGAATGATTAATCAGATGTGGGTTTTTTTCAAAGAAAAGACAAAAAATTCAAAAAAATATGTATCAAAATGCAAGCTAATTTTATTTCACTTGTAATATCAGAGTGTCATTATCATCTGACATAAGTCAATAATCAAGTTCAAATTAATTAGTTGCAATTATCAGAAATTTGGTTGAAATAATATACAAAATTGCATAACTCTTACTTGAGCATTTTCTGCAATAAAATTTATTTGTTTGTTCTCCATTTATATCCCATTATATTGCTATTTAACAGTAATTGGAAATATCTCATCATTAGGTATTTGTACATTCAGATTTGAATACAGGAAATGTATTTTTTCTTAATGAAGAATGAACACCAATTAAGATAAAAAAATAGTTATTTTTTTTAATTTTTGTTGTTGAGAAAGTGCATTTCTAAGGCCTCTTTCTGGAAATTATAAAGCCAGTTATTATAAATGGCATATAAAAAAATATATTATTTGACGATTTCCCTTTCCATTCTTGTCAAAAAAAATCTGACAGAGTCTAAAATTGAAATATCAATATATATATCAATATTTGCATTAATATTTTTTTTTCCTTTGGAAAATAACATAGAAATTTTACAGTAAGATTGAAAATGAAAAGAGAAGAAAATATTGAAAAAAGTATGGTCAGAAAGAATATCAGACTAGCTATAAATACAATGGCTGGATCACAACATCAACGATGCTTTGATTTCCATTATAGTTAAAAATATAATTGTTAAAACTCTTGACTATAAAATTAAGTAATTATCTAAATGCAGCATGGAAAATGAGATGTCAAATTATTTCTTAACATTGTATCATTTGTGTTGTTTTCTGCTGTTTATCATTGTGTAATATATGTTTTGATTGCCATAGCATGTAAATGTTTTTTGCAAATAAACTCATTCATTCATTCATTCATTCATTCATATTCAGTTTAAATTTACAAGGTAGGAGTCATATGTGCGTGTATATATTAAAGTTTATGTCTATTTTTTAATTGTAAAAATCATTTGTCTAATTACTATTTTACCATGAATAATACAGAAAATATGTTTTACCTGTTATTAACTAAGTAATATGTATTGTTCAATGTCTACAATCGTTGAAATAGTTGAAATTGACAGTGGTATCTCATTTATATTGACCATATATTATACAATCAGTGATATATCATACAAGTACACACCAATGTTTTATGAAATAACTAGTTATTTACATATGTTATATTGCTATTCAAATTTGTTTTATTTATAATATAACTATTAATAAACATCAGAAGCTTAGATCTTATTACTGTTATTCCTAATAGGAATCCATCAACTACAATAACATAAGAAAATTTGTTGGAAATGTTTTAATCAATTTTTTTCCATCAAACATGATTAATTATATTTAATTAATTATATTTCTTTGTAAAATATTGAATTTTAAGTTTAGGACTGTTAGTTCATCTGTTGGGCATGTATAAACTTTTTTTTTTTTATAATTATGAATAAATATTTTTTAAATTTATTTGTTTATTATTTGTGCTGCAAATGTATCCAAATGTAAAGAAGATAACCTTACATAATAAGTTATGAAAAGGGCAACATCATTTACAGATATCTTTTTCATCTGTTCTTTCTATCAATTACAAACTGGCAGATCGCTCCAAATATTCCAAAAATGGTGGTAAATATACATGTATTTACCAAAATTAAAATACTGCATGTCATAATATTCTTAAGAACATGGACAGGACTCCATACTTGAAAATAAAAGCCAATGACTTCATGAATCAGTGCATCAAATTCATGTCTTAAGCGTTCATCGCACCAAAAATTCAATGAAATGCATTCAACTTCATTCATACAACCAAACGACCATTTCTTTTTACTTTATATTCTCAACCAAAAAAAAACTACAGTTAAGCAGATGTAAATCAAATCTTCTTTTTTTTTTCAAAATTTCAGCCCCAAAAAATTTGTCAGTCCCTTTTTAGCTCACCGGGGCCCAAAGGGCCCTATGTGAGCTTATGCCATCACTTGGTGTCCGTCGTCTGTCATCGTAGACTATTTCAAAAATCTTCTCCTCTGAAACTACTGGGCCAAATACCTTCAAACTTTAACTAAATGTTCCTTAGGGTATCTAGTTTATAAATTGTATCCGAAGTTTTGATCCATCGACAAACATGGCCGCCATGGCTAAAAATAGAACATAGGGGTCAAATGCAGTTTTTGGCTTATATCTCAAAAACTAAAGCTTTTAGAGCAAATCTGACATGGGGTAAAATTGTTCAATTGGTCAAGATCTATCAGCTCTGAAATTTTCAGACGAATCGAACAACCCATTGTTGGGTTGCTGCCACCGAATCGGTAGTTTTAACAAAATTTTGCAGTTTTTATACGACCGCAAAAATTGAAAATTTTTTGGTCGTATATTGGTATGACGTTGGCGTCGTCGTCGTCGTCGTCGTCGTCCGGCGTCGTCCGAAGACACATTGGTTTTCGCACTCTAACTTTAGTTTAAGTGAATGGATCTCCATGAAATTTTACCATAAGGTTCAATACCATGAAAGGAAGGTTGGGATTGATTTTGGGGGTTATGGTACCAACAGTTAAGGAATTAGGGGCCAAAAAGGGGCCAAAAATAAGCATTTTTGTAACTTCCAGACAATAACTTGTGTGTAAGTGTATGGATCTCTCTGACATTGTACCACAAGGTTCCATATCACAAAGGGAAGGCTGTAATTGATTTTGGGGGTAATTGCCTCAAAATTTTAGGAATTAGGGGCAAAAAAAGGGGCAAAAAACAAGCATTTTTCTAGTTTCATGACAATAACTTGTGTGTAAGTGTTTGGATATTTCTGAAATTGTACTACAAGGTTCCATATCACAAAGGGAAAGCTGGAATTGAGTTTGTGGGTAATTGCCCGAAACATTTAGGAATAGGGGGCCAAAAAGGGGCCAAAAGTAAGCATTTTTCTAGTTTCCAGACAATAACTTGTGTTCAAGTGTATGGATCTCTCTGAAATTGTACTGCAAGGTACCATACCACAAAGGGAAGGCTGGGATTGAGTTTGGGGGTGATGAATCATAAGGGGGTTCAAAAAATTTGGGGGGGGGGGGGGGGGGATTTTTTTTTTTTCTTTTTTTTTCTTTTTTTCCTTTTTTTTTTCTTTTAAAATTTTCCATTTTAAGTTGGTTATTTCTGATTAATATTTAAAAGCAAATAATAATGATATGGTAGGAGATACACACCAAACAGGATGTGTAAATTATTATATAATAAGTATTGTGCAATAGCAAGAAATTTTCAATTGCACAGTATTGCACAATTGCAAGAAATCTTCAATTGCACAGTATTGCGCAATAGCAAGAAATCTTCAATTGCACAGTATTGCGCAATAGCAAGAAATATCCAATAGCACAATATTGCGCAATAGCAAGAAATTGTCAATTGTACAGTATTGCACAATAGCAAGAAATATTCAATTACACAGTATTGTTCAAAAGAAGATACTTCGTATAAATTGCTTATTTCTTGATCAATTTCAATGGGGTTTTATTCTTGAATTCTTGGGGTTCTTTAATATGCTGAATCTAACCAAGTATTAAGTTTTTGGATTTTGGGCCCCGTTTTTAAATTGGTCCATATTGAGGTCAAAAGGGTCCAAAATTTAACTTTGTTTGATTTCTTCAAAAATTGAATTATTGGGGTTCTTTGATATGCCGAATCTAACCGTGTATTTAGATTCTTAATTTTTGGTTCTGTTTTCAAATTGGTCTACATTAAGGTCAAAAGGGTCCAAAATTAAACTTAGTTTGATTTTAACAAAAATTAAATTTTTAGGGTTCTTTGATATGCTGAATCTAAACATGTATTTAGATTTTTGATTATGGGCCCAGTTTTCAAGTTGGTCCAAATCGGGGTCCAAAATTAAACTTTGTTTGATTTCAACAAAAATTGAATATATGGGGTTCTTTGATATGCTGAATCTAACCATGTATTTAGATTTTTGAGTTTTGGGCCCCGTTATCAACTTTGTCCACATTGAGGTCAAAAGGGTCCAAAATTAAACTTTGTTTGATTTCATCAAAAATTGAATTCTTGGGGTTCTTTGATATGCTGAATCTAAACATGTGTTTAGATTTTTGATTATGGGCCCAGTTTTCAAGTTGGTCCAAGTTGGGGTCCAAAATTAAACTTTGTTTGATTTCAACAAAAATTGAATATATGGGGTTCTTTGATATGCTGAATCTAAACATGTATTTAGATTTTAGATTTTTGGCCCAGTTTTCAAGTTGGTCCAAATTGGGGTCCAAAATTAAACTTTGTTTGATTTCAACAAAAATTGAATATATGGGGTTCTTTGATATGCTGAATCTTACCATGTATTTAGATTTTTTATTTTGTGGGCCCGCTATCAAATTGGTTCATATTGAGGTCAAAAGGGTCCAAAATTAAACTTTGTTTGATTTCATCAAAAATTGTATTATTGGGGTTCTTTGATATGCCAAATCTAACCGTGTTTTTAGACTTTTAATTTTGGGTCCCGTTTTTTAAAATGGTCTACATTAAGGTCCAAAGGGTCCAAAATTAAACTTAGTTTGATTTTAACAAAAATTGAATTCTTGGGGTACTTTGATATGCTGAATCTAAACATGTGTTTAGATTTTTGATTATGGGACCAGTTTTCAAGTTTGTCCAAGTTGGGGTCCAAAATTAAACTTTGTTTGATTTCAACAAAAATTGAATATATGGGGTTCTTTGATATGCTGAATCTAACCATGTATTTTGATTTTGGACATTGGACCATAATAGGTAAATTAAAAAAATTGAAGTTCTTAGACCACATTCTTTCTGTGTCAGAAACCTATGCTGTGTCAAATATTTAATCACAATCCAAATTCAGAGCTGTATCAAGCTTGAATGTTGTGTCCATACTTGCCCCAACTGTTCAGGGTTCGACCTCTGCGGTCGTATCAAGCTGCGCCCAGCGAAGCATTTTATTTGTTATTATTTTGAATATTATTATAGATATATATAAACTGTAAGCAGCAATAATGTTCAGCAAAGTAAGATCTACAAAAAAGTGAATATGACCATAATTGTCAATTGACCCCTTAAGGAGTTATTGCCCTTTAAAGACAATTTTACACAATTTGTTCATCAAGTTTGCTAACATTTAAAAATCTTCTCGTCTGAAATACAGGTGAGCGATTCAGGCTCTTGAGAGTCTCTTGTTTTATACCCATCGATGTCAACATAATAAAGTTTTTGTGTCAATGATGAAGTTAATTTTTATCTGTAAAGCAAAGAACTCAGTATAATTATATGGCTTCACTTGACAGGTGTCAAACCTACTATTATTCAACTTCAACAAAAATTACCTTGACCAAAAACTTAAACCTGAAGCGGTACAAAAAAATGAAAGGACGCACAACCGAAAAAACATAATGCCCCTAAGTGGGGCATGAAACAAAAATGCCAATATTCTATATGTATGACATGGTATCAAATGAAACTATATTGTACCAGGTGCAAAACGTCAACTACAGATTAGCATAATACCACATTGAACAATATATACCCATCGAATAACTCTGTCTCATTGGTGTATGAATGTTATATAGGGTTTATACCAATTGAATAACTCCATCTCATTGGTGTATGAATGTTATATAGGGTTTATACCAATTAAATAACTCTGTCTCATTGGTGTAAAAATGTTATAGAGGGTATATACCCATCGAATAACTCTGTCTCATTGGTGTATGAATGTTATATAGGGTTTATACCAATTGAATAACTCCGTCTCATTGGTGTATGAATGTTATATAGGGTTTACAAATACCAATCGAATAACTCTGTCTCACTTTATCTCATTGGTGTATGAACGTTATATAGGGTTTATACCCATCGAATAACTCTGTCTCATTGGTGTATGAATGTTATATAGGGTATATATCCATCGAATAACTCCGTCTCATTGGTGTATGAACGTAAAATAGGGTTTATACCCATCGAATAACTCTGTCTCATTGGTGTATGAATGTTATATAGGGTATATACCCATTGAATAACTCTGTCTCATTGGTGTATGAATGTTATATAGGGTATATACCCATCGTATAACTCCGTCTCATTGGTGTATGAACGTAAAATAGGGTTTATACCCATCGAATAACTCTGTCTCATTGGTGTATGAATGTTATATAGGGTATATACCCATTGAATAACTCTGTCTCATTGGTGTATGAATGTTATATAGGGTATATACCCATCGTATAACTCCGTCTCATTGGTGTATGAACGTAAAATAGGGTTTATACCCATCGAATAACTCTGTCTCATTGGTGTATGAACGTTATATAGGGTATATACCCATCGAATAACTCCGTCTCAATAGTGTATGAATGTTATATAGGGTATATACCAATTGAATAACTCTGTCTCATTGGTGTATGAACGTTATATAGGGTATATACCCATCGAATAACTCCGTCTCAATAGTGTATGAATGTTATATA